CCCCCTCGTATACAGGAAAGTAAAAATAGCTCCAACGTTTTTGATTAAATATTATTGTAGAACATTTATGCGAATGTCGCAGGTCACAATTTTGTTGAAAACCCTGGCTTTTCAAAATTTCTAAAATCCAAAACTTTTCTACCTTCTTATTTCTATCCAGCAAAAAGTATATATATATAACCCTTCAACAGAGAGAGAGAGAGAGAGAGAGAGAGAGAGAGAGAGAGATCCTATCGCCTATCCTATATCCGCTACCCGATCCTCATCGCCGGAGACTTTAACTATAAATCGACATCATGAGGCACGCGACTAGCAACAGGACAGGACTGAAACTCGAAGATCACCTTGACAACAATACAAACACCCCCATCTGGAAGCCCCATTGAATCCACCCACATCAACAACGACATTCCCCATGACAACCTCGACATTTTTCTTCATTCTTTCCAACTCCAGATCACTATCCCCTACTCCAAATATGATTTATTTGACCTCCGATCACGTCCCCATTATATTTACCTGCTCCACAACTTCCCACTACATACTCCCATAACCACCATCCAATCCCAAGAACAACTGGAAAAAATACAAACACGTCCCTTCCAAGAAAATCTATATCAAACAATCCTACAAAACAACACCCCACCTTCTCTGACGAAATTCTAGTGATGATTAGTCACAAAAGACGACTAAACGACACTATTGCAAATAAAGACGAGACCAAGACAGGAAACAAATATAAAGACTAATCCACACTCTACTGCAACAAGATGAGACCCACTGATATGACGATTTACTCAAAGACTACTGCAGCCCCAACAATATACATAAAGTGCTAAAAGCAGTGCGCCACAACCCTTCCCCAATATCCCCGGCCGTAACCAATAAAAATACTCTAACCATTGGCCCACAAACGATTACTAACACTTTTTCCCAGTCCCTAGCCAAACGCTTCCAATACAAGACATCCTTAATTACCTCCTAACACCCTCACTACCTTCCGACCAACAACAAACATGGACGACAAATGACTTTTAAACAAGACAAATTCTTGGACGGACGATTGACTGTACAAAGGCCCCAGGTCCCGATGGTGTCTTCCCATCCCAACTAAAACACCTCCCGAAAAACGCTATACCCACCTTACCCTTATCCTAAGCTTCTGTCTAAAACTAACCTATTTCCCCTCCGCCTGGAAAACCGCCCGTGTAGTCATGATTCCCAAACCTGGCAAGGATCATCGGCTCCCTTCCAACCATCCCCCAACTAGCCTTCTCCCAATCCTCCGTAAACTTTTTGAAAAAATCCCCCTCTTCCGCCTATCACTAGACATTTCCCAAGTTGGCTTCCGGGAGGGTCGTTCTGTGGCCCACCAAACCCTCAACCTATATCTAGTAATAGCCACGACCCTCCAAGACCAAAGAAAAAACCCTACCATCCTAACAGTCTTCACCCAAGCCTACGACACAGTTTTCCACCCAATCCTCATGAATATCCGTCTATCCCGAATCACGTCTTTACACAACTCCAAAACTACCGTCACCAATGATCCTTTCACATCCGCCTCCTCCCCAAAATTTCCCCTAGTTACCCGGTCCAAGCCGGCGTCCCTCGTGACTAGCTGTTGGTCAACGTGTTCGTTGTCCACTACGCGGCCCCGAGTTCGATTCCCGGTGAGGCAAGATTATAGTGTGCGTTTTCCTTGCGATGTCCCCGTATACATTGCTGTGTGACGATAAGAAAATTCACTCGGGTTGAGAAGACCGGAATACGGCGTAGGTATGCCTGCGTGCTAACCTCTTATCCCATTAACCGCCCGCCTGGCAGGGACGTCGCCGTTAGGCGCGCTAAGTACATACATACAATGTTTTAAACAAGATACACTTTGGCAAACATTCTTTGGCTTACGCCTACGTCATCTTTTGCTATACTGTTTCGAATTCAATTCGTCTCATCAGCTTGGAAAGTGTTGAGATCAGCGACGTGGCTGACCTCATACCCAAGGACAGTAGTGGGGGGAGTCTGGAAACTTTAGGATCAAACTTTGTACTCCACGAAGTAAACGACTTTTGCATTTTGGCTCACACCTTTTGACTTTTGGCTGCAAAATACATACATACAAGCCGCCGTCCCACATGGAGCCGATCTATCCCCGATCTTCTTCTCCGTGTACATAAACGATATCCCACCCACCTTTGGAGTAAATCTTTCCTGTATGCCGATGACCTTGTCCTCCTAGTATCCTTCCGCTCCTTAACCCGATCCCTCAAACAAATACAAACTCCAATAGACACCTTCCACCTCTGGGCCTTCCAAAATAACAATCATCAACCCATCCAAATCCCAAGCAGTCCTATTCTCCTTCAAATACCACCCCCCAATCCCCCTCTCCTTACCATAAATAACCCACCCTTCCCTGGAAAGACCAAGTGAAATACATTGGTCTAACCTTCAATCTCCTTTGTCTCCGTTCGTCCCAGACATCCAGTAGAGAATAACTAAAACCAATCGTATCACAGATTCCATATACACAATCCTCACACACCCATCCCTACCCCTCAAAAAGAAACTCCTACCTACTACACCTGTATCCGCCCTATCCTGTCCTAGGCACATCCCACCTGCTTTGCTACTGCCCCTAAAAATCATCTCAATATTGCCCGAGCCGAAAACTACGTCCTCATATTCCGCCCCTTACATCCTTACATACATCCTCCAAACATTAGAAAATTCATTAACAACCCCTCTTCCGACAATTAATCCTTCCCCACTACTACATCCTCCGAAATCCGCCCAGACACACCCAAAAGAAACGTCCACTGGACATCCTAAACTTCCTCCTCCAATAATTTAAACCAGAGAACAGACAGACGTGATATTGACGAAGACATATCGAACGACAAATCAAATGACATTAACACAAAATGAAGAAACAGCTACTCGCGTCACCACCACCAAAATCTTCTCGTCACATCTCTCCCACCTTTCCCCTCCCCACCCCAACCCATCCTCGCCACATCCCCGTCCTTTGCCCGCCCCTTCCCGTCGTCCAGGTACCATCAACAAAATTACCCTTCCACTCCACCACTCAGACTCCGGATCCCCGACCCTTTACGGGAAAGAGAAGTCAACTACCTTAGAAGAGTAAAACCAACTTCTACAAACAAGCTCGAAGAGACCCCTCAAGGGTCAGACGAGCTGCACTAACACCCGAGTGGCTTAGCTTGGCTTATCATGCAGTTAGCGGCTTTAGCCTACTCAAATACTGTTAAAAATAATCTTTATCGAATATCAAAACATAATAGATATTTTGTTAAAATTGTAATATAGTGAAACACCCTGACCAAACCCCCCAAAACAACCATTAAAAATATCTCCCCCAATTTACCTACAATAAACATCCACATTTAATTCCATAACCTGGCAACAATGGAAAAACGTTGCGAATAGTAAATGATGTCGTGTCATCTGGGCATCGACAACAATGATTCATGTCAGAGGCTTTTGGTTTTAAGCAATTCACCAAACATGACTTACTAGATTTTTTTTTCATCCTTCTAATTTCTCATGTTTTCAAATTTAGTGTCACTGTCGCAATTGTATCCTCCGAAAACTGTACTTCTTGCTTATCATTCTTACCAAGTCTATTAACACTCTATCCTGTCCTCTATTATTACCTGATTCACTGCCTTGACGTGCTTCGCTTCTAGTTCTCGTTCTCTCCTTCTTTTCTCTTTTTGTGTTTGCTTAAGCCAACCACTTCCCTAATCTACCACACCGGTAACTATCTGCTGTCCTAAATCATGTGAATGTAAGCAGTATTTACACATTCTAATTTCTTTTGTGTTCCTAGCCTTACTTCTCCCGGAGTCGCTAACACTTTCACTGCTATTAGTTATGTCCTTCCCGTGGTAGCTACTTCGTAAGAAGAGAAAGTTATGTAATCATGCACACAGTTATGCAATCGTGAAAACAGCGAATTTTCGGCAGAAAAACTCTTATTGTCAGGTTCTGGTATCAAAAAAGTGGATAAATTACATTGCCCAAATTTACACAAAAAAACCTCTATCACGTGGTGTAGCGAGAATTCATGTTTTATGGGTCCTCGATACCGATTGACGGCAAAACGTTTGTCTATGTGAGGTCAACGCTAGCGCCTAAACCGTCCAGCCGATTTTCTTCAAAATTGATATTTCCCGATCGCTCTGAATGAGGCTATTTTGATTTTGATTGATATTTTACATGAAACCTTAAAAAAAAATTCCAAACTTTTTTTCAAAAATTGCACCAAATTGTTTGATTAAACTTTGTCTTTGGATAACGTAAAGGGCACTTAAAAGAATATGGAGTTGGTGCACGCCATAGCGGTCAGCCCTTCTGCGCATGCGCAGATGCACTAAAGTGATGCGAAACTTGAACATGGGTGCACAAACTCCGTAATGGGCGGGTCTCATGCTCAAAGTTGCAAAAGTGTAATTGTTTGGTGTGTCTTTCCACAACTATAATATTGAAGATAAGAGTTTTTTTTTCCTGAATGAAATCTGTTCCTTAACGACCGACCTTTAAATACATTCATGTGCAATTATTAGAAAATATGCGTAATTTTTGTGTAATTTGGCGTGAAATATCGACAATTTAACGAAAAAATATTTTTTTCTTAAAATCTCTCTATCTTTTTTTCATTTTTTTCTACAAATAGAACAAAGGATGCTTAAAAGAATTGCGCTGTTTTTTTTGTTGTTCTTTAACTCTGAATTTTCGAAAATTGCAAATTTAGAAACAATGCGAGAAAGTGGTTTTTGAAATATGAGTAGTAATTGCAAATTTTGAAAAAACTATCTTAAGTGTGAAAAACTTGTAATTTTAAAGTAGGCATGTCAGTGTAAAACGTATATACATAAGACAGTATTTAATGAAAGCCCTTGTCTTCTTTTCTCACAGTGCCCCATTGGCACCATCTGGGCATCATGATGACCAACTGCGACCATCAACGTCTCTTGGCTTCCGAAAAAATATTTTCGGCTGAATTGGTGTTTAACTTTGCAACTCATGCTTGTATGCCTTGTGTAGTGTTGCCTGCTTTTAACAAAGAGGGAATAAATAGTTTTCTCTTGGCTTTCTGTATGTAGAAATTTAGGATACTGGGGATGTGAAGTTGTGAACCGTGGTGGTTCGGCAGTAGCAGTTAATTCGCAGTCTGGTCCAGAGAGTACTCTCTGGAGTATATTCGAGTCGCAGTGTTCGAGCATAAACGCGCGGCTCGCAAAGGCAGTGGGTCCTATACAAGCCCAGACACAAAATATTGCCATATAACATACAATAAGTTCATATTCTCAATATTTTTTCTGTGCGTTCTGTACGAGGTTAAACAGTACTTGTTTGACATTGTACAATAATACTAATCTTCGTTTCACCATGGAATGCACATTGACATCGGCTACAAATATGTTGCACAGTCAAATTATATGTCATATTTGTTGTAGAGTTTATGAAAGAAACAAATTTACTTTCGTGTTTGATAGAGAAGGATTTGACAGTAAGTTACCAGAGAAAATTTGTAAATATACCCCATTCACAGTAAGTTTGGTAGCATTTTATTTGAAATATACTGAATCATCTGTTGAGTACTATGTGCCCTTATTGTAAATAATATTTTATTTATATTCATTGATAGGTCAAAAGTGAAAGTCATTCCTCAGCAGTAATTTGTACTGCATGTGTTGAAAACTTGAATAGTTGGGACCGATATATACAGTCGTGTATTGAAGCTCACTTAGCCCTTCCGGAGGAAACTGAATGGAAAGGAGAAATGGTAATTTTGTTTTTTTGTCAGTATTGCTCCAAAGAGTGAGGGTATGGTTGTAAGAGTGAGAATTTTATCTTCAGCCTTCAAAGTGCTCTCTGTAAAGTGCTGGACTTAAATGTTAGAAAATAAATGTTTCACTGTTTTAGTTCCCTTTGATTTCTAGACAACATTAGTTAAGTTATTTAGTGTATTTTAGCCAATCGTAAATAAATATTTTGTTTGTTTTTTAAAGGCTGGAGAATCTGTAGAAGATCTTACTGTTAGTCAAACAATTATACATTTTTCTGAGCCTATCCAACATTCAGATAATATGAAACAAATGTCTGAAGCAGATATGCTTGACATTTCCTCTACAGTTTGCAAAAAAAAGTACTGCGAGAAGTCAAGAAACACGTATTGTATTGCTAAGTGGTGCAGTAATAATACTGGAGACAACAATATATCATTTTTTAGAGTACCAAAAGATAGGCAAAGGCAAGTTTAAATTTTATCGGAATAACTATTGCTGTTTGTATGTAGTTGTGATTGTATAAACAAATTCATTGCAGGGCTGAGCAATGGCTTCTAAACGCTGATAGGGGTGATCTTTTAAATAAAGATATAAAAATTCTCCATTCCAAGTATTTATGTGAGAAACATTTCTCGGATACAATGTTCATGAATAAGAAACATAAGAGACTTGTATGGAATGCCATCCCTAGTATATTTCCAGATATCAGTTCATCTAGTTTTGGTCCCACCAATAAAGGTACGATTGCAAGCTTTAATTTCGGACAGTTTCATAGATCATTAAGTGAATTTCATTCTCCTATAATACAAAGTGGCTTAAAATCTGTGTATGCACTGAATAAGGGTTTCAGCCAAATTTCAATACTTTCACGCCAGAACTTTTAACTCATCCTTTTATTGAGGACAGTAATTTAATCAGCTAAGGGAACTTACTAACATTGGGGTACGTGTTACCAATGTTTTTTTGTGTGTTGTGGATATATGATTGCAAAAGGATTTCAACAAACTACTACTAGTCAATTAGGGTGTCAATTATGTCCTTTTTCATTTTTATGCTAAATTTTTTGTTTGAAAGAATCAAACTCAAGAATTTTTTCCATGCTGCTTAAATGCGTCTATTCATTTCTTCATCATTTTTCCTATTAAAGGATATTATTTGTCCAAGATAGATGTATTCTTGAACGTATTCTATTATTTTGTTCTGTATTGTTATTTCTTTCTCTTCTCTATTTGTCATTATTTTTGATTTGCCAAAGTTTATTTTTAACACAGTTTTCTTGGTATGTGTATTTAGTTCTTGAAGTGTAGTTTGTATTACTTGATGTGTGTTATCTAATAAGACTATACAAAATAGATACTCTATTAGGCATACAACAATTACAACACAAAAAGATGTAACAGAATTTGCAACAAAAGTTTATGAAAATCTTTCCAAAACAACCAAGCCTGATTCACAGCTGTCAATGGCCACATTTTTACTCACACTCTACTCTAATATTCAAATACCTAACATTCTGGAAAGTGAAGTAAGGAATGCAATTCAAGATACGAAACAAAACAAATGCCCAGGGGAAGACTATATATTGAATGAATATGTAAAACTAGGAGAGGAATCATTAATTAAACCCATGAGAGATATATTTAATAAAATAATAATTAAAGAGGAAATACCATAGGAATGGCAACATGATGCAATCATTTTACTTCACAAAAAAGGATCAAAAGAAGATATCAATAATTATAGACCTATTTCCTTGATGTCAGACTTATATAAAACATTCTCAAATATAATACTAGGAAAAATAACGAAAATATTTTACAAACTTACATAATTTACAAACTATTAATGGAGAAATTCCAAGAACACAACCTCCCATTATACCTATGAGAAAGTATTTGACTCTGTAGAACAAATCTGTATATTGCAAGCTTTAAAAGAAATTGGAATAGAAGACAAATACATAAGCATACTATTGAAAATACATGTGACAAATAAAGCAAGAATCAAAACCGAAAGAGATGGAAGAGAATTCAGAATAGAAAGAAGTGTCAGACAGGATGACCCACTGTGCCCCAAGTTATTCATCTGAGGTAAATTACCAGTACATAAATCCAAAGAACATCTTTATGTATAATTATTAACAATTAGGATTGAAATAAAATCTATAGTATTAAAGATTACTGTGCTTGAGTACATACGTACCAATAGAAAAAAACATCTGTAATAGTAATTCCAGCAAAAAGCATTCCTCCATACATTTCCAATTTCATTGGAGTTTTAGTTTCTGGCAACTAATTGTTGCCGTTGTTCCTTTGATCTGTTGTCACTCATGATAGGTCATAACCATTGTCTAATTAACTTTTTAATTTTTTTTTATTTCTTCTCTTCTTATTGCCTTAAGATTATCTGGTAAACTGTTAAATACTTTCAAAATTCTTGGTTCTTCTGCTAATTTTTTTATATATTTTGAGGAGTTTTAATATTTTACTTTTTGATTTTCGATTTATCTTCAGTTCATATTGAGCTTCTAATGCTTTATAGTGAACCATTGGTGATCTCTGCATGTATCCTCTTCATGAAAATCTCTCCATGAATATTTAAGATGTAATTCACGATAGATGTTCCAAGAGATAGCATTTTTTGTTTCCTGAACATTCTTCCTTTTCGTTTTGTATTTTATTATTTTTTATGAAATTAAAATTAAAATTATTGTTTATTAAATTTCATCTATTTATTTCAAAATCCAGATATTACATGACTGAACCAACTTCAAAATTTATTACTTAAACCACTTATTCATTGTGCTCACAGAAATGAGCCTCAAATTAATCAAAAATGAATTTTGATAACATAGTTTGGGAGTAATATTCATGGTAAACATTGCTATCTTGTTTCAAAGTTGTGTAATGAGCCCTGTTTTACAAAGGTATTTTTTTTATTCCTTTACACACCATTTCCATTTAAATGTGTGTGGTTTTCTTGTTTTCATCAATCTCTTCATTTTTTATCATATGGTGTTCTTATTCTGTTTGTTTTGGATGTTAAAATAGTTTGCACAATATAAAACAATTACCCTCATATATTACTTTGTGAGGTATTTTTATATTATTAACGCTGTAAGTTGGCATTTGCCAAGATTTTAAAATTTCCATTCATAAAGAAGTGTGTAGACAAAATAATTATTTTATTAGAGATAATTTAAAAAGTCATTAAAATATTAAAATGTTTTGGTGAGTTTTTCAATGTTTCTTAAGTGAGTTTTAAAAAAAAATTTATAACCAGACCTGGTTCTTTAGGACTGGGATAAAATATATCTATGTTCAGGGCAAACGAAAATGTGTTTTTGTGAATGGAGCCATAGCTCTGAAAGTCCATAAATAACACCCTATTTATTTAATACACAGAAGTGAGTATCTGTTATCAAACGAAATGGTCAAATGTGAATGCGAGGAAGGAGGTTTTCAAGCGCAAGAGAAAGTAACGTAATGCTGCACCGAAAATATGGCGGATTTTACGGCAGAAAACTCATATTACAGGACCCTCGTAACAAAAAGTGGATAAATCCAGTTTCTGAATTTAGAAAAAAATCCAAACAAGTCGTGCAGACAAAATCCGTTTTGTGGTCATTGATACTGAAGAATCGAGTGACGGCAAAAGGTCTGTCCGTGTGTGAACAACGCTAGCGGCTAAACCGTTCGGCCAATTTTCTCCAAAATTGATATTCCCGAATCGATCTGTCTCGGCCCTTTGAATTTGAAGCCCCTGGGATATATTCCCTCTTTTTTTAAAAAAATTATATAAACAAAAAATGGCTGGCTCCAATGATTTTGATTAATTTTTTTGTTGGATAGTGTGAAAGACGTTTAAAAGAAAGATGCTGGACTCATGTTCGTTGAAAACTCTGGTTTTTCGAAGATTGCAAAAATTAACATTTTTTGGCGTCTTCCTACAACTACAATTGTGAAAATATAATTGTTTTCTTAAAAAATGTGTTCATAAAAAACATGAAGTAAGATCATATTGAATTTTTGATTTGAGTATTTTTTGTGTAATTTTGGTGAGAAACATATTAGCCCACTCCCAATTTACTGTGCTTGTATCTTAAATGATATAATCCTGTTTTGGACATAAAAATGAAATAGAAGCAAATTAATTATAACCATGTTTTGGACATAGAAATGAAATAGAAGCAAATTAATTATTCTGATTATGGGCCCTGACTTGTTGCTTGTCTGATTTTGTATTAGGATTTTCAATATTATTAATTATCAATTGTTTTACCATTTCCAATAATTATGACAATGTTCACTATGCAACTTCACTGCCTTGCTTTAAACAATTATAAAATAGTATGTGACATATATAACTTTTTGGAGACGGCTATCTCGGGAACAGTTTATATTCAACAACTACTCAAAGTCATCTCAACAGGAAACAATTATAATACATGTCACTTTGCAATTAGAAAGTTGTGCTTCCATGAAGACCATACTTGAGTCGCCATGAAGTATAGACTTGCTACAAGTAGCCAATATTTCCAAGTCCAACTGAAGTTCAGAGGAAGGAACCATCAAATAAGCAGTAACTGTCAGCCACCCGACCAGAATGACCATTTTGATAGCAACCCAGCCAGCACTTATTAAAACAAACCAAAAATAAGTAAGTACTTTGCATTTTAATAAAATGAATGGACTAAACGTTTAGTAAGAGCGTAAGGAAATTATTGAAGTTTAATAAATGAAATGAAAATGATATTTCGTTTCCAACAAGCACTTTAACCCATAAATACAATAGTGTTTAAAATTTTAAAAGCAGGAAATGTGCATATTAACACTGTGAGAGAACTTTAAAAAATATTTAATTTGTGTAATTTTGGGGGAGAAATACCCCAAAATGAACTTAGCGTCATATTAAAAAGTACAATTAGCACTATCCTTTTGAAAAAATTGGAAAAGTTTTTGAGAAAATGGTGTTGAGTCTTCCTGAAAATGCGAAATTGTGAGTTAGTTTTCATAAAAAACTGTCGAGTTTTCGAGAAGCTTTAATGACGTAATTTAAAGCACATGTATTCATAAATATAATGTGAACAATTACCACTAATGTAAATATGAATGACATGAGACGAGTCAGAAAATTATACTTTTATAATTTTTGAAAAACCTAAATGGAGCAATATGAGATTTATGTCATCTTATAGAGTGCACTTAGCACAATCCCCACCAACAGTTAAAAGAAAAAGTTTGAAGCTTTATTTTTTTATTTTTAGAAAATCTAGTTTTTTTAATTTTTGGCGCAATATTGCACGAAAATTACTAAAATGTTGAAAAACATGTACATGATCTTAATATAAGTACAAATTATGGAGTAATTTGAAGAAAAAATCTTTTATTTTGTATTTGTAAGAAGAAGACGAAAGAAAGTCAACTTTTGAAATTTTAGAAAAATCAGAGTTAACCAGGAAAATCGGACGTGTGCCACCTTTATAAGTGTGTATTACTAAATATTTAGAGGAGATTTAAGAAACATATTGGAGTCATTTTTAAGAAAATGTCTCGGGGGGGTTCATGTAAAGTACCCCCAAAAACTAATGGATTTTCAAAATCACAGAGCTTCGACTCAGGCCAAATGGATAGGGATTTCTTCGGTTTGGAAAAATCTTTCGCATGCTTCAGGCGCTAGTGTTATTCACATACACCAGACGGACGGACGGACGTTGTGAAAAAAACAACAACACTTTTTCGGTATCAGCTGACCCCAAAACGTGTATTTCCGTTGAAATCTCGAAATCGTTCTTCCGTACCATCATATAAGTTCCCCTTTACTACATATATTATTCCATATGTACGTATGTATAGAAAAGTAAAAATGGGCGTGACTTATCAGGTGCTGCCTTGTAACCGCATAAATATCACTGTTAAACAATGTTTTCCTTTTGATGCTCAGTACACAAGGACGGCTATTGATCAATTTATCAGAATCCATCGACAAATCCTCGTATGAACGTATGTTACTGCTGCATAAGAAATTGCACCCCAATCTTGCATCCAACATTTAAGACGAAAACATTTGAATATATACACATTTGGTTATTAATAAACTAATAAACCGTGAAATACGAAAATTCGATGAAAAACTTAAGACTTCAATCGAGAGAAATTATTTCCTACCAATTATGTGTTGTTACTCCAGGTAGCCGAGATCGCTAAGGCAGTAGTGTCGTCGCGATCTCGGATCGCGGGTTCGAATCCCGCCTCGGGCACGGATGCATTTGTGATCGCTCTTTCACCCCTTATCATCATCCTATCACTTCATAAAAATAAGTATTAATAATTCTCTGCTCAAGCAGGTGGCACTTGCTCTTAATGTGCAGTTGGCTGTAAAAAAATTGTGTTACACGAATTAATTACACATGTTATACTATTCATATCTATAAATATAAAATAATCAATATAAGAATAAATAAACGGTGGCCAATAAAAAAAACAGTTAAAAACATAATAAAAATTCTAATCATATGTATTGTATTGAAATGTGTAAAAACAACATGGCATGAAAACAATCAGTTTTCATGCGATCAATCATTCAATCAGGCGACACCACTAACCTGATGAATCACTGCACGTTAACCAACAAATTTCGCCACAGTGTCGAACTCAAACACGTCTATTGACCTAGCCCTTCGCATGTAATTGAATTGCAATAGCTGAAATTGCACATGCAACAACTGCTATTGTAATTTAGCTGTCGTTCCCCTAGGAAAGGTGTAAAAGTATGTCTTCTGTGCACTTCAACGTCTGATTCCCTAACTCATAATTTAACGCTAACCTTTGTCTCTGCCGTCCCTGATTTTACAATTTTCTACAGACAAAGGTGGAATCGCTCGGAGCATTGTTCATTGACTAACCAAAATACTTGCAGGGATTTGTCATAATCTTTTATGTCCACAGATCCCACGTCAAATTTGCGGAAGGAGTGTGCATCTCCGGTGTCAACGAGCACTACATTCCAGAGTGAGAAAGAGATTTTAGCACAGCATGTCGTCTCTTGTCAACTACACCACTCCACCTCCCATGTGTTGAATTATGATGAGGGGACTGCGTTCTACAAGTAGAATATCAAGAATTAGATAGCTGAGGAATTGCTCAAAGTCGTCAAAAGTAGCGTTTTGTGACGCGTTGTAGATGTAGAGTCGATCTATTTGGCCCGTACAAATCCAACTAGGGGGCGCGAGTCATTAATTTTTGGAGTGAACGATTCCCTTATGTCCAAATTGTGTTTTGGCGCGGTGGTCGGATTCTCACGATGAATAGTTTCTATTTATGTATCGTTCACATAGAATCGTTACATGTCCCCTAATTTCTCACATTGTGCCAGGATATCCTGTGCAACTTCCCTGTGAATCAGTTCTTTGGGTTCATATCAGGTTTATTTGAACGATTATCATGGTCTAATATTGCTTTAACTCTTTTTTGAGGCCATATATTTACAATATGTCTGACTCTCCTGGCAACCTAGCTAGTAACTGTACAGATTAAATCTTAATGTGTATCACGCTGTGTTACACAATTAACTGAAATTCCATTACGTTGTTAAGTGCGTCCCTCTGGCCGAGAGTGAACACTACCTGTGGACTTCTAGAGAGGTGTTGCCTGTCAGCATCGCATGGATCATGTGAGCGCTTCAACTGTTCTCGCCGCTAAGTGTTTTCATTGGCTGCGGGCTACCACATGAAGAAATTTATTAATGTGTGGATGTTTAGTTTTCACAAGGGAATTTTGTGATAGCATTGTGGCTCTCAGAAGATGGTCAGCGGTCTGGCTGAGAGGAACCTCATTCGTCTCTCAGAGCTTGAGCGTCGCGTCCGCATGGACAGTGAGAATACAAGTGTTGGTTTCTGCGCCGCAAAATGTGAATGCCTTGACAACGCGTCGACAGCAATTCATGGTAACACGTCTTAATGAGCTCATAAATATTTTTTTAATTATTAAATAGTATAAAAGAATCAATGTGTTTGAATCACCTTAATTTCTACATACCTAAAAATTCCCTGAGGTAAGAGTTCCTAAACTTTAATTATACTACTTCCGAGCATCCTAGGAATGTGAGGAGTTGTTTTGTAATTCAGTTCATTGCTTAACAGGCCTGAACAAACTCTTTATTAGAAATATCACCTCTTGCTCCTGGTAGCATGTTTACTATCTTTGCCCTTCCTTCGGAGCCTTCGTGTCAGTCTAAAAAATGATCTCGATTTGTGAGCAAGAACAACCTTCGAAGAATTTTACTGTTTTTCTCACGTAATCGGCAGTATACTCATCCCTCTCTATCGATAGTAAATAAAATTTTAAAAATTACGTAAGGTATATAGTAAAGACATTTTTAAAAAAATATTAATATATTAAACATAATTGGGTCATTCATAATTGGCTATATAAAGTGTTTGATATATAAATACATAATTCCGATTACTGTGCAACAATTCTAATTTGAACCCCCTCTAGATACAACAAAATAGAGCCAAAAGGGTAATAATTCAATACAATAGATAGCATTAAACATATTCCAGCACTAGATAGGCCAGAAACTGAAATTTATGTCAATAAATCAATGCGTTATAAGAGGCTTGTTTTTTGAAAGAAAAAACAGATAACAGGATATTTAGTAAACAAAATCCAAAAAGTATGAATGTATGTTACTGCTGCATAAGAAATTAATTAAGATTAAGATAAAAAATGAGAAGTCAATCACAAAATTTAGTGATTAATTGAAATATAACTATTGTAGAGGTACAGAATCATTAAAATAAATTAAATAAAGTAACGTATATTTAAGAAAATTTTTACTGAGAAAGGACCTACGGACCTATATACTCTGGCGTCACGCGCACACACACCCTTCTTGCAACAGCCGCGAGCCCCCTTACCCACTTCAGCAGTTTATGGCCCCCGACGGCCGAAGAAAGGGCGAATTGTTAGGCGCTCCGCTGCGTCCCCGTTCGGAACGTTTTCGAAACGCCTGTCACCGTGATCAGGGAAGCACAAGATAATAATTCAGTAGCCGGGAAGCCCCTTCAGAGACGTGGCCTACTTTCGAGACGACAGAAAGATTCCATGGAGCGACTGAAACAGAAAATGGAAAATTTCCAGAATCAGCTGGAGCTTATTGGCCAGAATTTGTGTAAGATGCCATCACCTTTGGCCAATAGCGACGCGATCGTCATCGGGAACTCGAACATACGAGGAGAAAGGGTGGGGGATGGAAGTTAACTTTATATTTGAGGGAGAGAAAAATCGACATTACATTACTACTACTGCTAGGGCGGGAGCTAGTCACGGGAAGAGGTGCGAGCACCTTTGGGGGGACTTAGGGAGAATAATTTTTTCAGAGAGAGGTGGTGTGCACCTCCGGGGACGGGGATTGAATCGAAGTTTTGATTCGAGGGAAAGTGCAAAAGCACGTATAAGGGAATTGTCGAATCCTTTGTCACTGCGTATTCGCTGCAGGATTTTGCAATTACTGAAAATTTTATTCGAGAGGAATCGCATACGCAAAGGGAGACATTGTTGTGTGCTCCGCACCTGCGATACATCCCGGCTATCTACAAGCTCCGCCGAAGCAGCCTCCAGACGTCCCTTCGCTGACGTCACTGACCACCGCCAGACGCCACTGACCGCCGCAGCCGCCGTTGGTGAGGGCGTGCGCCCCGACCATATTCCAGAGAAGGCCGCCCACAAGCTTCGCCGCGCCCACCCGGGCCTACTGAGCACATCTGCCACGGAGGTTTCCCAGGCAACGTAAACAGGAGCAATAAGCTCTTTAGAAATTATTGTCAATGCGGTGTCGCGCCAAGGCACAGAAAGGTCCTCAGGGACAACTCTGTAATTCTAACTATAAAATAATTTTGTATTCTTCTCTAGTTGTAAGCTCTCCTTTAATTTTAAACTTTATTTTTTTCTTTATTCAATCTTTTCTTTCTTTTTTTATTAATGTAACTTCCCTGGTACAGCTTTGTCCAGGAATAAACGTTGTCTTTTTTACCAGTAACCAAATTGTTTATTTTGAATGCCCATGAATTTAGTTAACAATTCCTTCCATCACCTAAATTTTAAATGAGTAAAGGGAATAGAACCGACTGAGCTAAGACCGGGCCGCTACCACGCATTTCCGACGATCCCACGTCGCCGATAGATGAGTGGGGGTGTTACACTATACAAGTAAAAAATATATTATTTCATACAGGATTTGAATTACTTGATAAATTACCGTTATAAAATAAAAAATTGTGCTAAAATCAAAGAATTTATAAGAAACTAGAGGTGTTATAACAGCTTATACTTTCTTGCAATTGTAATGTATCATAAACCTTAGGATTATATAATTAATATTCACAACTTTTAATTATTTCACCCGTCACTTGGGCAAGTCACATCTATTCGTATCTGTAAATTCGAAATAAACAGATAAATTTGGTACACTGGCCGACAAGTCTACTATGGCTAACTTACTCGACGAAATCACGACAATATCAAATATCGCGCGACATGCGAACCTTCTTCGTAACAATTAAAAAGTGTTTTATTTACAAACTTATGAGTTATCTATTGCCTTCTTTCTAATTCTTAAACACAGATGTGAAATGTTTCTTCAGTTTATGATCCTCACAGTGCAAATTTATATTTTTAGTGTTGATCCGCGAAGTATCTCCTATACAGGAAACCGAATAATATATTCATTTGGGAATTTGGCTCTTTCTTATTCTTTCCCCATAATTGGGTTTCTGCTACGTACTAAAAAATAATACATAGATTTTCAACAATGTTGCCTATCGTAATATTAGCAATTATTTATTTCTCAAAATTTTACCGAAATGATACTCGGCGAATTCTCCGTACATAAGATCAGTATTCAAGTACACAAAAAAAACTATATACTTATACTTACCTTGACAAAAAAATCTACATATCATTCACACATATCCATTTTATTTACATCCCATTCACACGAGTACACTCATTTCCAGTACTGCAATTATTCTAATAGCCATTTTATTTTATTCTTAACCTAATCACAAATCTTGGTCTTGTTATAATTTTGTTTTCATAAAATTGTCACCTCCCTGGTCGTTGATTTCACTGGACTCTGTAATGCAGGCATTACGCCCTGAGGAAGGTCACAGAATGGCGACCGAAACGTCGGCACCTTCGCCATGGACCCGGACAGCCAAGTAAATACTGACTCCGGCCGCGGAAGCCAACGCTCTAACATTCAACCAGTTCTTCGCGTAGCGTACCTGGCGTAAACAGCACGAAGTAATAATGTAGAAAAAAATATGTTTTTTTTCTAAAATCCTTGTTTTAATATGCAATAAAAATTCAGAAATTTGAAATAAAATATTTTGTGAAAATAGCAAAATATGTAAAATAGTACTAATACGTAACGAAAAAAATGGATAGTGTTGCGAAAGCAACAGTTCGCCAAGGTTACAATTTTGAGAACTATAGTAGAAAAACAAAAAAAAGTAATTACACAAAAATCCTCTCCATTAATAATGAACGTATTAAAAGCGTCACTTTTCCGAAATTTAAAACTTTCATAAAAATTCCACCGGAATCCAAGACTACCTCGGCCACGATTTTGCCAATCCAAAATCACAAACCCGTCTGTCCATATGCATTGTTGCATTGCCTTTTTTACATCGCGCAGTTTGAAACAAAGGATGGGTCTTCTTTTTATCAAACCCGCTGCATAGTCCACTTTCCATTTTACAAATGTCTTTATACTTCTCTAATTTCTTCGTTGCAATAATTTCTTATTAAAAATTCAAATAATAATAATTATTAATTTATTTGCAAAATTCCTAATCTTGTTATATTTAAAACGTTTATGTAAACACATTCAATTACCGTTGACTAATATACGAACATTTAAGTTTTTCGTTATGCCAAAATTATTGCGACTGTTTTCTTTCTTTCTTTTTTTTATTTTTTCCTATGTGTTTTTGTTTACTCATTTACTTCTCACAGGTGTGACAACAACACAGTTCCTTTGGTTTTTAGAAATAAGTAACACTTTACACCTCCACCATTGCACTTTCGACTGATTTTTTCTTTACTAAATATGCCGCTTTCGGTTATTTTGTCCAGTTTATTAATACCTATTTGGACGCGTCCAAATGGACCGATACACAATATTGTTACCGTTATGTAATCTGTCACAATTTCTGCCTTTCTTACACCAAATATCATCTCGTGTATAAGCAAAGCATGAATAATATATTTTATATAAAAGTTTAAGAGAACATATGAGATGCGTATTTTAGCCTTTAAGAAATCTGCGTAATCTATGCGAGAAAGTAAAAGCAAAGTTAATAAATAATAGACCCACCGGCGGCTACAGTGCGTTGTTGCCAGCGTTGCTTTAACACAATGGAGGGTTTGTTTTTCATATGCATTTTGATAGCGTTGGGAAGAAAAAAGAAATAGTTCGAAAAAATATAATAGTAATTATTAAATACTATAGTATTATAATATTTTCTATCTGCCCCTTTACCACGAATTACACGTTAGACCTTGTGTGAACACGTAATGCTAAATTTTTCATACGTTATCACACGTAAGAAAATACCCCCTAATTCTCATTACTAATCTAGGAACACACGATCGTTTCAATCTGCATACAGAATTCAACATAAAGAGGAGGGTTAGAGTAGGGACCCCAGAATTTAAGAAAACGTTCGCAGAATACATTTCTCCCCATAGTATAACACACAATTTTTAATTTTTTAACTTTAAAGAAATAAAACGTCTCGTCAAGGTAAAATTACGCTGAAGTACTTACATGTTTTAAAAATTTGTACATGACCTTTTTTAAAGAACTGATTTCATGTAATAAAAAATGTGTACTCTTGCAATGTTAATTGGTTGAACTGTTTAGCCCATTTTCTCTAAAATTGATGTTCCCCCATCGATCTGGCTGATGTTGCCTCCCTTCCCATTTGAAACCGATATTTCAATTTAGGGGTGGGGAGTATTTTACTTGCAGCTTCTGGGCCAT